TAAGCAGTTTTCTTCAGCTTTAAGTATCTTAAGCGGAGTTTGGATCCTTTTTACAGTTACATTGCATTCACAGTATGCGAGCAAAGCTATACCATCAAACCAGCTGAACAAATTAACTTGTAATAGAGGGAGTTGAAATTTCAGTGAAGAATGTTGTCTTTATGATGTTGAATTGAAGGGAGATCTGTAAGGAATTTACACGAATATAATCGCTGATAAACTTTATTTGAGAATCCACAGGATAAATCTTCAAAGGTTTTCGAAGGCAAGCGAATAAGTGAAGAAACAGTGGAGCAACTGCAACCAGAGAAAAAACAGTCTGATTAACTGACAAACGTAGTACAAGTATGCTTTTTATGATCATATTCTGTATTCCAATATATCGGCATATCATTTGACAGTGAACTTGATTCCCAGTATTAACCTTTGCGAAACTAAATACGGCAGCACGCAGCAGCAAATAGACGAGGCGTTCCGTACGACAAATTTCCCGCAGAATGGGTGACGTGAGATGCGAGTCGTTATACTGTAACGTAACAAAGACTTCTTGAATCACAGTAAAATATAAAGGACTGTTTAATTGAGCAATATGATCTCACATATAGTCGTTCAGTTTAAGTGCGATCAAATATTGATTTAACCAACCTTCTAAATTATTGCCGATGGCTCCATTTAGAAGTGGCATTAGATGCCATTCAGAGGTTTGACTTAGATAAAATGTGCAATGGTTTGTAATAGGTTGGCCCAACTCAGCTAATTTGGTAAATAAGTTAATCAGTAATCAGGTTAAGATTAAGGTTCTAGGCCGGCTATAAGGCCAGAGTAATTAATGCGTCATAGACGACTTTGCAATATTGGGTCCAACCAAAGAAGTGAATTCGCATGCATTAACAGGACTAGGGGCCCATTCCATGCATTAAATCAAGTAAATATAGAGAGGAAATGCGCATACTATGCTGTACATTATACAGCAATCTAGAATGCATCATTTGTCACCTCCTTCGAAGCTCCTAACTCTTAATTCCTTATCCTAGACGTTAATAACTATTCATACTTAATCTTCATGGTCTTCCTTAAATTAAAACGGAACAGAATTTCTTATAGATCGTAATTTTTCAAGAATTAACTAGATGTATATGATTAAATTGCGAGTTGTAAATCTTTTTTACATGACTTTGCACGACTTGAATACAATTTATAACCTCACTGTATTGTAGCTGCTAATCATATGAATGATTCCTTGACAGTAAGGTAAAACTCGTCTCTAATAATGATAGTTAAAATTAAAATCGAGCTCATAGTTAATTGTTGTCGTCACTCGCAAAAAGATTTTCGCATTATAACATCTGCGCCAGGAAATTACAGATGCACCTTCATGCAAAATGAGCGATTTGTCGACTCACTATAAAAATAATGCTGCCGAATTTTTTAAATCTTCTCAAAATGTTAACTTGATAAAGCAAAACTGGAAGATAGGACCTCTACACAAGCATTGGGCAGGTCTCATAAGAGACCAATGCAGCAGCGGCTGAGAGGCTGGCACTGCAGATCTGTAGAATAAGGTGAAGCGAAATAAGGTTTCTTATTTCGTGATCCTCTTAAACAGAAAATATCGACAATATGGTTATCCATCTCTATTAATCTTTCTTGTATTTTTCTTGTTTAACTGAAATGGCCTCATTGCAATACAAAGGAATTCAGTGTTGCCAGACAGAGGTCAGAAGTTGGAATGTACGAATTACCCGAATTCCCATCCCGGGCGATCGTGCAAGAGATCTTTACCAAGAGCAGAGTAATTTGAGCAGAGTAATTTAATTCAATATATAGATTGAAAAAGATGTGGAGGGAACAATCTTTTCCAACAACATGGAAGGCTGTTACGTGAGACCAGAGCTGGGCAGCGCTACTTTGAAATGTAGCGGCGCTACCGCTACCGCTACATGCTCTAAATATTGCGGGCGCTACCGCTACACCCACTAGATTGTAGCGAGCGCTACCGCTACCGCTACAGCAAAATGTAGCGCCGCTACATTAGCCGCTACAATGGCCAAAATTATCGGAAATCTCTAAATATTTATTGTTCTGCTATTGTGATTTACTCATAAACATTTAATAATAATAAAACATTTTCTAAACATATCAATGCAACTTTATAGCAATTAACCTAACCGAACTAGTACGGGTTAGTTACAGTAAATAAAAGTTACAGTTATTTTTACGTTTTACCTTCCTTACATGGATGTTTACTTTAATCTACCAATCTCAAAAATTATCCACATATACATATAGAAAATCAGTTTTTAGCGCTGATTTTTACATTTCAAGGTAGCGCTGCCCAGCTCTGTATATATATCTGGATAATTTTTGAGATTGGCAGATTAAAGCAGACATCCATGTAGGGAAGGTGAAACATAAAAATAACTGTGTAAAAATAACTGTAAGCAAACTGAAACATGAAAAAATATCTGTAAGTGGTAACTGGTAACAACTTAACAAGGAACAACTAACATGTTGACACTAGTAACAGGCTGAGGTTGACAACATTGCACCGAAATCTTTCGTACAGTTTTATTCTGTAATTTATATTATGTATGTATCATGCTGGTTTTTAANGCCCTACCGCTACCGCTGCATTGCCTTAAATGTAGCGCCGCTATCGCTACCGCTACATGTAGCGCGCTACTGCCCACCTCTGCGTGAGACACATGGTATTGAACATGATATCTGCGTATTGAATGGCCTTCCTGGACCAGAGGTTTACTGTATTATCAATTATTGTGGTTAATTATAATTTTTATTCAAGAAAGGCTTGTTACAATGGGGTTACCTATTTTTCTCATTGCTGAATGAAACTATAATATTTTTAAATTTTCGCTAGTGCTGCACGAAATATCAAGGGACGATTATTACTGTATATGAACAGATCACATTTTTTCACTTCAGGTTTTTCATCCATGCTAAATAATTTGAAAGACAGATTATAATTATTTGATTATTAGCATCCGGTTTCACTCAAGGGATTGATGAAATTTTCGCAGTGGAATAAAACTTTGGTTAATCATTTCTATTGCATCGAGTCATTGTCGAATCATTTCTATTACTGGCCTTCTCTTGTTCTCATGCAAAAAAAAAATTCGAATGAAAAATCTCAAAATATGTTTGCAAAATTCTCATTAATTTCGAAGGTTAACTAAACAAATAACTCTCAACAGCACGACCTGTTTTTCATTGAGACGTGATATGATCAGCCATATAAGGTCTTACTGTCGAAATTGAATGTCAAACCGTCTCTTTTCGAAACGAATTGTCTCCCAGCAGCTGTTGAATGAAATGAAACACAAATATATGTGTTTATTGAATATTTTATATAAGAATAGGAGTGCAATATTATATCCTACAGACACACACGTGCCCTCAACATCCTACGTGCAATGATATGCTGTTTCTTATGTCATTTTTGAGGATCTTTGAGCAGAATTGATTTGTGTGTGATACTTTCGACTGTCTTTCAGCTCAATATTACAGAGACCATTGTTCAGCTCTTCAACTCACTTGTTCCGTCTGTTCTGGAGGACGGGGTTTCAATATACCTCACTACACGACACTTCTACCTAGAGGATGTCCTGGCCTGGTAATCCTAGGCCTGCCAAGCTAAGAGGGAAAACGATCGTAATCCATGGAACGCACGACTAGGATCAGCCACCATTGAACATTCATGATGACAGAGAAGAACGTGGACTAACAGCCGAAATTTGTCTACCACGAATCCCAGGATTCTCAAGCGGTTATAATGCAATTGAAAACACAATTAACTCACAGCAATGCACACGTTAAGCATCGTCACAATTTTTGTGTTCAGTTTCGTTTTTAGAAAAGCGAAACAAAAGCATAGGTTGCATTAGTCTACCAGGTTATTTTTGGCGACGTTATAACCAACGTTATTCTAGTCTAATTTAAGGTGACCAAAAATATAATGTTGTTTTAGTAAAAAATGAACTAAATTACAAAAATTGTGACAGTGTTCACCGCGGCGCATTGCTATTAATTATTTTTAATTAGTGATGTATTTCATTCCACCAGGATCGAATCAGAATTGAGGGAGCGTGCAAACGTGCAATTTTGCGTTTTTTTTGTCTAAAACAAAACAACGTAAAAATTATTACTACGATACAGTATGTTATTTAAATTCTTTGTTTTTAATTTAATGCCAATTAGTTACGAGTTAACGGAGTCATACGCCGCATTGAGCGCAACCCAAAACTCGTCTAATATCTTGTCTCACAAGAAACGATGTTGTTCTAAGAAAAATAGACAGGTGAAGAATAAGCGAGCTAGGATGTATTTCACATCAAAGTGGTCAGGTTTCAGTTGCTGGTAACTGGGTATAACTATGTTTGAGTGTTTATGGTTTGTACTACACGATGTTCAGCATCCTACTACGAAAGAGATGCAAATTTTCGGCAGGATCCAATCAGAATAATTTGGATAAGTCTACATAAAAAAGACATTCATAAAATTTTTAAATTGTTATGACTCTCATTTTTCACGATTTAATAGCTCTTTATTACAATGGACGTTCTGGTGGAATTCTTGGGTAAGGACCTTTTCCAAAAGTCTATTGTTGTTGAGCAATGCAATTACTAGAACTAGACAAACAACACACCCATCTGAATTAAAAATTGATGAATGATACTTTAATTTCAAAATAAATATTTAGTATATACTTCGGAGAAATGTTCGAAATTAATTCATTTTTAATTTCGATGTTTTAAACAGTTTTCTTTGCATCGAAATTCCATCGAAAAATAAATGTTCGAGTCCTGTGATGACTGAGCCGGACCAGTTTGTCTTAAAATTAATTATTTCATTTCAACTATCGCTTGCTAAAAACAAAATTTTAAATCATTTATATGTAATTTTAATACAATGCAAATAAATAAAACAATTTATTTTGAAATTATAACGAAATTGTCCTCTTTTCAGGCACGCCCTACCTTTCGAACACTTATCTACCCGTTGTGTTCCTATGACGTCATTTGTTATGGAAGCAGGGCGTTCCGCAATGAGTTCAAACAGGTCTTAGATTTCTTCAATTAGCTAATCCTCACTAAAATGACTTTTTACATAGTATTTTTCATGCTGATTCTTCGCACATCGGCAGGTGAGTAAACTAAGTGCATTTAAAGCTCTTACTTTGTATTCAATAAAAAGCATTATTATGGCAAATTTATTATAATTAAGGATAGGTACTGAGAGAATTTAACAATCCTTTCAAAATGACTCCTATTTTAGACCGCCTGAGTTGAAGTAGGCTAGTAATGTTGAATATTTTGGAAATTCTTGGGCTCTTTGTTATTGCTCCTTATTTTTGAATAGATAAACAGATGATTTTATTTCCCTAAATTCATAGTGGCAAAGCAGAGAGTTTTTTAGACTCTCCCTCAAGTTCATTTTTGAGTCCTATAAGTAGACCAGCAAAGTATCCTGGATACCAGCATTATCATACATAAGAAAGTGGTTTGCTAAAATTAATAGTAAGTTAGTGTAAATTGCTCACTAGCCTAGGCTAATTTTTAATTATTTTACCTCATATAAATTCATTGTTTTAATGCCTAAAATCTGAAATATTGAACAGAAATTTTCAAAAATTGTGATAGGGTAAATGAGGTACCTATATTCTGACACATTAAGGACGTAGAAAAAAATGAATGGCTGTAAAAAAATCACCGTATGCCATAGTGGCAAAGCAGAGAGTTTTTTAGACTCTCCCTCAAGTTCATTTTTGAGTCCTATAAGTAGACCAGTAAAGTATCCTGGATACCAGCATCATCATACATAAGAAAGTGGTTTGCATCTTGGGTAAATGAGGAAATTAAAAATGAACTGATTCTAAAAACTCTCTGGTTTGTCACTATGCCGCAGGGTGGAATTCTAGAAATGGAGGTTCACTTATAAAAAAGCTTTCCACCCAAGGTGGAATGCTTTCCTTAGATACAGTGCTCTGCCAGGTGACCGCGTTTGAAAATGAAAAGGAGGATCAAAAGTGGACAAACTGTTTCAGTTGTATAATACCTCAGATTTGTTATAAAATTGGTTGAATGTCTCTTGTTTGATAGATATTCTCTATTTTTCTTTTATTTAATGGATTTTTTGAAAATTTTCCAGGCTTTTTGTTTGTAATGATCAAGTTTAAGTTAAGTATTTAGTTAACCAGTACTGCAGTACATATACCATATTTGGGGGCAGGGCTTATGGGCATAACCAATCACAGCTGGAAAGCATCCCCATCAACCAATCACAGCTTGAAAGCATCCCCAGCAACCAATCACAGCTGGAAAGCATCCCCATCAACCAATCACAGCTTGAAAGCATCCCCAGCAACCAATCACAGCTAGAAAGCAGATAACATTACAACTCCATTAACCAATCGCAGCTGGAAAGCTGGAAGGGGCTAAAATCACAATCCCATAAACCAATCACAGTTGAAAAGTGATAGGATATGTATAATGTATATAATAAAATGGACTGGAAGTGGAAAGTTCCTGGACTTTCCAACCTTTCAGGTCCTGCTTTCCAGTATGCTATGTGTACTGGTTAATTTAATATCCCTCTAGAATTCCACACTGCTATGCCGTATGCGCAACTCGAGTTCTGTTTGCTTTACGTCACTCTCCAAACACCGTACTATGCGCCAGCAACAATGAAACGCCACAAAATGTTGCCATATTTATTTAAAAGCCTTTAGAATGCAAACCTACCAAATCCATATATTCTGACGGCCCGACGCTGCGTGTGACTAAATTTGGCATTTTTTGAGACTAATTCTGGCCGCGCTTCAAACTTTACTAATTTGTAATTCCAACACTCTTGTGTTCAAATTCCGTTTGCTGTGTGAGCTGTATTGGAATACAACACAACTTGGAATTAGAACATTATTGAATATTGAACACTACTTAAGGGGACCGTCTAACCTAAAATTTTCAATTTTGGCTTTTCCGGTTTTTGAGCTCATCTTAAAGCTGAAATTCTGCTCTTTCCAATGGTACCACTGCCATCGCTGTACGCCAATATTTACGTTCATGACGTCTCTTTAAAGGGAAGATATCACGTTTTCTATCAATTTTTTCGAAAAATTCATAGAAGTAAAATGTTTTTATTTTTACATTTTACGTTTGAATGTGAAGTTTCATGATGATCGGATAATAACTTTAGGAGTTATAGGCTATCTCCAATTTAGGTTAGACGGTCCCCTTAATTAGGCTTTTAATTAAGAGCTATTACGCTTTTAATTAAGAAAATTTTAATTTTTGCGCACAGCCTTGGAATGAGCGTTACGTTATGTCTCGTTTTAAATCTGTCTGTCTCGTCCTGGTTCATAATTTACCAGGACACAAGTTTTAAAGTCCGGGACAGAAGTCTTGTCTTGGTTCATACATTTATTCCGGGACAAATTTTACCCTCTGTCCCATTATTTTTTTCCTGGTATTTTCTCGTCTCGTTTCATCTGTCCCGGTTCATTTCGAGAAAATTATTTCAAGACGCAGGAGTCTATGTAAAACCATCTCTTAACTTGATCATCTATTAATTTATTTACCACTTCAAGGTCCACTTGAAATCAGCAAATACAAGTATACACAAAGGATTTCTAATATATTCACATTACACAGACTTATTTAAAAGTCTCAAACCATAATATTCTTTCTACACAAACAGTTTATCACTATTTGGTAGAGCAAGGTAACTATAAACTTTGACACGTTTTTTGATGTTCTCACTGGGTAGCTTGCAGCCTTGCACTGTCTCTCTTTGCTCTTTGGATCTCAACAGTTTCCCACCAGATGGCCCAGACTTAGTGTTTTGGCAATAGAATGGCGTGCAATAGTATGACATTACTATTCCAACCATCAATGAATGCGTGGAACTATGACAAGGCTTAATATAAAGGAAAAAAGTTGAGAAGTGTCGGAATTACCCCAGATGTTCGAATATACCGCGTTTACCCTACCAAGATTGTTCCAGAGATGATTTATAAAAATTGCAATCAAAATATATTTTATTTAAGGTTTGTTTTGCCTGATTTTCAACTTTGGCAATCCATTCTAAAAAAGTGGGCTGAAACCATATTCGACACATGCCTACTATGGTCATCCTTGGTCAATAGTAGCTTTTGGTCAATCTAGGAAAAAAATAAGAAAAAGGCATATTTTGCTTTGAATTCCAAAAGTTGTTGAAAAAATGATAGTTTTAACATATGCTTCTTGAAAAATTATGTCCAATATTGCAGAATGCAGATAGGCCTAGTTTGGAATGTGATGCATGTCAGTTAATGATGTCATTTTTCTATTTAGAGAAACACTCGAGCAGGTAGAAGTCACCAATGAGCTAGACAAATCGTGCACATAGACAAATTTACATATTCTAATTTATATATATATATACATATATATATATATATATATATATATATATATATATATAACAATAAGATAGCAGAATAAGCTTATTTAAAC